TTAAGCCTTCTTGGTTTGTTTTCTTATGTATTAGAGGTTATACCACAGAGCATGCATATTATGTCATTAAGATGACAAATTATTTGTTAGGACACCAGGTCTCTAGGGACACTTTAGTAGCATCTTATAGGGGGTGTGCACTCTGAAACTGACATCTCATTATTTTCAAGTCATTTCCAACAATTTCTATATAATGAAGACAGAGGTGAATTAGATTTTGCAGCTCCTGTTTTTTTTTTTAACTGCTGCACTAAATACAGAAGACTATATTTAGCAACCAATCAAGAGCAGGTGCCTTCAAAAGCAGCCAGCTGATTTTAAGACTAATAAACACAATTTAAAATACAATCCTAGAGAAAAAGTGCTTTTACATAAATAGATCTTCAAAATCAGTTTCACCATAATTTTGAAGCTATGCCCAATATTTCAAGCATTGCAAATTGATATTTTTAAGTATTTGAAATATTAATAACACTTCAATTTTCTATTATTAAAGCTAAATTATACAACAGAAGCATATTATTGAAGAAGTTAAATTTTATTAACCTCTTATGTTTATTTCTTATATTTGTTCCAAGCAACATTAAAACCAAAGAAATTGCCTACAACTTCCACACACACTTTTTGTTCTTCTTGAAGCCTCTAGAGAAACCTAGAATTTCCAACTAGAATTAGCAGTTATAACCTACATATTCTATTATTATTTCAAATTTAGTTAATATTAATCATCATTGCTTTAATTTTTATATGATATCACTATATCTGTAATTATTATAGATGTTAAGGAAAATGACATTATTACTATAGCTTTGATATTTATAAGTCCTCAAATATTATCAATTCAAATAATAAACAAAACTAGAACATACATACAAATTCCAACAGTTATATATGATGTATATTCAAAAGTACTAATGGGGTCTTTTCTAGCTGCCTCTAATATATGTATCTTTCTTTTCATTAACCCATTGAGCATTTTGATAAATTTTGTCATACATCATTACGGCTCATAAGAAGAACCTACATATATCATGAGCATGGGAACAGAGGATTTGAAAACAAGAAGAGACCTCAGAAATTAAAAATCCATACTGGTCAGAGTATCATCATTATCTTGCCTAGCCTACTGGTATTTATTCACAATCAATGTTCCATCACCTATCTTGGAATCCCTATCACGTATCTGTCACCAAAGGCCTACTTAATAGTTAATCATCAAATTATTGAACACTTAAAGAACAAAACTCCATCTCCTCAGTGTGAGGTTCACCTTATCAATTCCATCTCCAAGTCCCAACCCAACAAGCTGTGTGCTTTCAACACAACATGCACTTTACCCTGCCCAATCCTTTGCTAACAGTGTTTTCTGCCTAGAATGCCTCCTTTCTTTCTTCCCCTATTGAGATTCTATTTAAATTTCAAGACTCAGAACAAATTATACCACCTCTGGGATCTCCATTTACACTGCTCAAAATTAACTATTTCCATTGTGTGCACCTATAACTTTTTAAAAACATTTATGCTAACATTCAATGAACTTGACCAAATGTATTCCTCTCTTTCTCCCTAGATGATGAGTTCCCTGATGCAGGAACAAGACTGTACTCACTTCTCTCCCTCCGATTTAGTGGACATATAATACCTCACACACAGTGGATACTCTACAAATATAAATTAAAGGGAATGGGAGATCCATTCTCTCCTAAAATAGATATTTCATTCATAATAGAAGTTAAAAATAATTTTCTCTACAACTCAGTAATTCAAATAGAAAATACAAGTTAGTGGTACTTTCACATATTAAATATTACACATTTAAATATGATAGGTATCAGAACTAGTGTATTTTAAAACTTAGCAATTAGAAGCAACTTAAAACACCTAAGTTAAACACTTTCTTAAAATACAGACCAATAAATACATTACAATGCATTTAGGAAAAACAGAGACATGAGCTCTCCAAACTACTTGCAATAGAAAGGAATTCTCAGGTTTTGGAACACTGAGTAAAAGAGCTTTGGAAATAGGTTTTATAAACAGTGAGTTTGTTCAGCCTTCCAGAATGCAGCTGGATGAGCGGCAAACCGCAATAGAATGGGAAGAAAGTGGTGCTCTGGAGCTAGGAAAGCCAGGGCGGTGTGTTTCCAGTTCACTGGAGCCAGAGCTTCCTGCTGATTTCTTACTGATCCTGCCACCTATTGACCAAATTATGAATCAAGGTACTGCAAGTGACAAGGCATTTCAGCTGTTACTAGCAATCAATAGTTATTATCATTACATTAAAATAAATGGTAGTTTTGTAGCCTTAAAATTTGTTTTCACTATGTTACAAATGCTTGAAATATGTTATGATGCTTAACTGTTCTTTTAAATGTCCCTTCACAAATAAACCTTAGTAAAAGTAATGGTACTGAAAGGTACACCTCATCTGATTTGTACTCAAATATTCAAAATTAGGAAAGTAGAAGGAGTAGCGTGCTTTCAACACAATGTCAGACACCAACCTCAGAGAATCAGAGTTAAGAGGAATGGAAATGCAGTATTCTCAGCAGTGATTATGAGAGCCTTTATATGATTTTTACAGTTTTACTTTGATTAGGTTTTAGCAGCCACAGAAAGAATTACTTCTATTGTAACTGAATGGCTCTACCAAGTGCTGCTCAGAAAAGCAGGAAAATTCTCTTGCTCAATTAACAGTTATATTAAATGACAATAAACTACAAAGAAAACACATATATACACATATAAATAGCATTATGTTAAATGAAAGGGAAAAGGGAATTAATATTTATTAAATGCCCGCTATAGTAACCACTATGTTGGGTGCTTTAAATATATAAACTTATTTAATTCTCACACTACTAGGTAAACATTTGTCTACTCATTTTATGGATGAGAAAATTCAGTCTCAGAGGTTACAAGTATCACAGCTGGAATGCAAATATGTGTGACTCCATTTCCTCTGGCTTTTCCCACTACACCACACTTTACAAACTCTCTAATGGGTTTAATACTTACTTCTATGTCTCAAACTTCATTTCCATCATTTGTAAAATAAAAAGTATGGGCTTAATCACTTCTAAAGTCCACGCTACCTCTAAAATTTTATGAAACCTATGATTCTTGTGGGACACAATACAAATACATCAATAAAAAGAAGAGCAACTGCTCAATACAAAATGTGCAAAGAGAAATTCACAGAGAAGGAGATTAAAATTGCCTATGAATGGAAGAAAAGCTGCTCAACATCATTCCTAATTTAAAAAGTAAAAACCATAAAAGAGATGATTTACCATTTTCACCTCTGAGATGGGCAAAGGTTGCGGGGAAACAGATATTCATATATATTTTAGGTGGCATTATAAATGGACACAAGCTCTTGGGAAAGCAATTTAGTAATATCTATCAAAATTATAAACGTACAGATTTTATCCAGAACTTTCACTTCTAGAATTTCTTCTACAGAGAGATCCCATGTTTATAAAGGTATATATGTAAATACGTGTTTACCGCAGCCTTGCTTGAAATAGCAAAAGACTGGAACTGATCTAAATATCCATTAATTGGGAACTAGTTAAAAAAAAATAACAATAAGCCATTCACAGAAATCTATGCAGTCTGTTAAAAGAACACATGGGATAAACACAAGATATTGTGGAATAATATTCAAGTATATAAAGTAAAAACAGCAAGAAGTAAAAAAACAAAAAAAATGATAAATATACATATGCTTCTAGAGGCACAGACTATGTCTAGAAGACAATGTAAGAAATTAGTTAATAGTGGTTTTCTCTGTGGAGGAACCTGTAAGTCTGGGACAGAAGGGATATGCTTACCAATGCATATAGTGTTGTGGTTGTGGTTGTTTTTTGCTAGATGAATACCTTGATATAAACAGATTTTACTTTTGTATTTTAAAAAGTGATTATGATAAATAGTAATCTCTGTAGTAATTGAAGAACTCTTTACTGTTCAGTCTACTGTAGCAAATTAGAAGAAAATAAAAAGACCTAATGGCAGGAATTATTTTAAATGTTAAAATTCTTCAGAATATTCTAATCACTCCAGATTTCTGTGTGTGTGTGTATTAGGATAGAAGGGCTGAAAAGGCATAATTTTCACCTCTCTCTCTCTCTCTCTCTCTGAATCTTCCAAGATTCACATTCTCACATCCTAGGGCATGTTATGACAAATGAGACAAATGAATGATAAAGGTGCTAATTCCAAGGGCATGGGCGTAAGGAATATATCAATTTCTTAGTTGTAAAGACTCATTCAGACTAAAGAAAATCCTATGTTTAACTGAACTATCAATTCTGCAAGAAGTAGTAAAATAGTAATGGCAAAATAAAATATCCAAAATTCACAACCCATACTCATAAATTATGAGATTTAGAAGTTGCCTCTCTACTACCAAAATTATGAGAAGTGCACAAATATTTAGAATGTGCTCATAAATGAAGCACTCTATTATCCTATCAGTAAAATATACTTATTAGGTACCAGATTTTGGTATTACTCCAGAAAATCTGCTTATAGAAAATAACTATAAATTTCTTAGAAAACCAAATTGGTAAGAAGTACAAATGTAACAGGAAAGACTCTTTAAGCATTGTGGCCCCAGTCTTATGCCAATTTCATGAAAACTTCTGAGGTATTAGTATTCTGTTATACCTTTTTCTCTTACATGGTGAATCAACAAAACAAATTCATCAGCTCCATTTCTGAGTAAAATTGATCACTTTACAATAGAGGGGTATAACTCACATATAAACAATAAAAAAAAACTAATGTTTTCAGATAAATAATTTAAGCAAAATAAGATTAAAGGAGAAAGAGCTATCATTTAGTTGCTGGGTAAAACTCAGTTAATAGGTTAATCTATTCCTCATTATTCTCAGTATGGAAAGAGTATATGTGTATACATAACTAGCAATTTTTAGCAAAGCACTGAATTCAATATAACAGAATATGGAATTTATAATAAAAATAAAATGTACCTTTTATCTGGGTAGCAAAATTCATTGCCAGTTTTGCAAAGAGATCTGGATTTTCAAACTTTTCCTCCTTAACTTTTAACCAGAAACAGTTTTCAGATAATTGTGTGGGCTCAATCTGAAACAAAAATAACAAAGTATCTAAATTAATACCCCATATTAATTATTCAAAGAATTCATTTTCACCAAGGTTGAATGAGAATTCCTTTATTCATCTATCTACTAAATCGATCTCAGGATCTGTCAAACCAGCAATTTTTAACTAAATATTCATTGGGAAAGTTGCAGAATCTATCTGTGTACAGAACAGGTATATGATAGCAATAGCCTGTATAGCAAATTACATTTTTTAAACACTTCTACTGGAAGAAATATTAAAAATAATTTGTTAAATCTTTCCTCCAACTCAAACACATTCTTATTTCTCCTGGATTTTTAAAAATGGGGAAACTGAACTTCAGAGAAGTGAATTCTCTCAGTTCACTGACTAGGTTGAAGGCATTCACCATAATAGCTGACACTTACATACCCCCTACTATGCGTCAGTACTGTGTCAAGTGATATGCAGATATTAACTCATCTAATCAACTCCTCACAATAATCCTTTGAGACAGAACCTATTATCTCTATGTTAAAGATGAGGAAACTGAGACCCAAAAAGCTTAAATGGCTGCTCAAGTTGATAAATGACAAAGGTGGCTTTTAAAACCAGTCAAAGTAGAGGATTCAAGATGGCAGAATTAGAGGTGAGACAAAGAACTCCTTCCAAAACCACATATGTTACAAAAATATAGTTAATACAACTAATCCTAAAAAAGAAACAGGAAAAAAGGCTGCAAAAGACTGCATACACCTAGAGAACAGAGCAGACCTCACGAAACAGGGTAATGTACCAAAGCCTTGATCAGGCGGGACCCAAGCCCTTCCCCTCACCACAGCTCACCAGCGGGAAGAAGAGAAACAGAGTGGAGAGTGCGTGGAAGCATAGGACTACTGAACTGCCTGGAGAAATAGCTCTGGAGATCTGCTATGGGAGCAAAAACCTACATTACACGGTGCTCTGGAGATTAGTGGGGTTTGAAAGCTAAGATAGGCAGAATACTTTGAGAGACTGAGATTAGAGCCATTTTCTGTGGACAGCGAACCACATTGGCTGCTCTGGGACAAAAGAAAGGCAGGTGGTCTGAGAGGTATCCTAGCAGCAAGAGGGCTGCTGAAGGGGCAGGGTTTGCAAAGAGCCTGGTGTGCGGCAGAAGGGATAGGTGGACAAGGTTGTCTAGTTATGCTCTGCCCAGCAGGTTGGGAACTTTCAGGAGCTTCAGGCACTCCATACCCTTGGCAGGCTACTCATCTCCAGAGCCCCCACTGTGATACACAGCCTGGCGCAACTTCCTCCTGGACTACCAGCACCAGCTTGCAAACCCACAGTCCCTGCTGAGGCATCAGGCCAGCCAGAGGGAGGTGCCACCTATGGCAGCTACAGATGCAAATTGCAGAGGTGTGCACCTGTGTGCTGGCCCACCAGTTCTGACAGTGAAGACAGGCACTATACCCGGGAAGCAGGAAACATCTCTTTCCTCCCAACAGGCACCAGCGACACACACCTGCCACCACGAACATCACTCCAGGGGCTTAGAAGCTCCAGAGACTAGAGATTCTGGGAATTAGAGGGTGCCACATACAAATATGAAATGTCACAGGAACTTGGTTCAAACAAAAATCTTGCAAACACCAAAGAAAGACCAAATAAAACTGAACTCACCAAACTTTCAGAAAAACAGTTCAACATAAAAATCATAAATATGCTCATGGAGGTACAGAAAAATATTCAAGAACTCAGTGACGAATTTAGGATGGAGATTCAATCATTAACAATTCCATATATGAAATGAAAGACAAAATGGAGGGATTTGAAAGCAGATTCAATGTAGTAGAAGAGACAGTAAATGGAATAGAAATTAGAGAGGAATACAAAGAAGCTGAGGCACAGAGAGAAAAAATGATCTCTAAGAATGAAAGAATATTGAGAAAAATGCATGACCAATGCAAATGGAACAATATTCACATTATAAGGGTACCAGAAGAAGAAGAGAGAAAAAAGGGATAGAGAGTATATTTGACAAGGTAATTGCTGAAAATTTCCCAAGTTTGGGGAAGGTAAAATTCTCTCAGGCCATGGAGGTGCACAGATCTCCCAATGCAAGGTATCCAAGGAAGACAATACCAAGACATATAATAATTAAATGGCAAAGATCAAGGACAAGAACATATTTTTAAAAGCAGCAAGAGAGAGAAAAAAATCACATACAAAGGAAAACCAATCAGGTTATCAGCAGACATTTCAACAGAAACCTTACAGGCCAGATGGGAGTGGCATGATGTATTTAATGCAATGAAACAGAAGGACCTCAAACCAAGAATACTTTACCTAATAAGGTTATCATTTAAATATGAAGGAAGGAGTAAACAATTCTCAAATAAGCAAAAGCTGAGAGAATTTACTCCCACAAGCCACCTCTACAGTGCATTTTGGAGGGACGGATACAGATGGAAGTATTCCTAAGGCTAAATAGCTATCACAAGGGGAAATAAAACCACAGCAAAGTAAAACAAGTAATTACTAAGCAGATGAAAAATCAAATCAACTACACCCAAAGTCAATCAAGGGATAGACAAAGAGTACAGAATATGATACCTAATATAAAAAGAATGGAGGAGGAAATAAAAACAACCTTTAGATTGTGTTTTTAATAGCATACTAAGTGAGTTACTTAGACTGCTAGATAGTAAGGGAATTACACTTGAACCTTTGGTAACCACGAATCTAAAGCCTGAAAGGGCAATAAGTACATACTAATCGATAATTACCATAAATGGAAATGGTTTGAATGGACTAATCAAAAGACAAAGAGTCACAGAATGGATAAAAAAACAAGACCAATCTACATGCTGCCTACAAGAGACTCACTTCAAACCCAAAGCCATACACAGACTGAAAATAAAGAGATGGAAAAACATATTTCATGCAACAAATAGGGAGAAAAAAGCAGGAGTCACAGAACTTGTAGAAGACAAAACAGACTCCAAAACAAAGCAAGTCACAAGAGACAAAGAAGGACATTACATAATGATAAATGGGTCAGTCCAACAAGAGGATATAACTATTATAAATATCTATGTACCCAACAAAGGTCCATCTACATATGTGAAATAAATAGTAATAGAATTAAAGGGGATATAGAATGCAACACATTCATTTTAGGAGACTTCAACACACCACTCACTCCAAAGGACAGACCATCTAGACAGAAAATAAGTAAGGAGATAGAGCCACTGAACAACGTATTTGAACAGATGGACTTAACGCATATCTACAGAACATTCCATCCAAAAGCAACAGGATACACATGCTTCTCAAGTGCACAAGGAACATCTTCAAGAACAGACCATATACTGGGCCACAAAAAGAGCCTTGGTAAATTCAAAAAGATTGAAATTGTACCAACCAGCTTCTCAGATCAAAAATAAACAAAATAGATAAACCGCTAGCCAGACTTATCAAGAAAAAAAGAGCCTACACACATAAACAGAATCAGAAAGGAAAAAGGAAAAATCACTACAGATACCACAGGAATAGAAAGAATTATGCGAGAATACTATGAGAAATTATATGCCAATAAACTGGATAACCTAGAAGAAATGGACAACTTTCTAGAAAAATGCAACCTTCCAAGGCTGACCCAGGAAGAAACTGAAAATCTGTATAGACCAGTTAAGAGCAGCAAAATTGAATTGGCAATCAAAAACCTACCTAAGAACAAGATGCCTGGACCAGATGGTTTGACTGCTGAATTTTATCAAATATTTAGTGAAGACATAATACCCATTCTCCTTGAACTTTACCAGAAGGTAGAAGAGGAGGGAATACTTCCAAACTCATTCTACAAAGCCAGCATCACTCTAATACCAAAACCAGGCAAGGACACCACAAAAAAAGGAAATTACATACCAATCTCCCTGGTGCAAAAATAGTTAACAAAATATAAGCAAACCGAATTCAAAAATACATCAAAAGGATCGTACACCATGACCAAGTGGAATTCATCCCAGGGATGCAAGGATGGTACAACATTCAAAAAACCATCAACATCATCCAGCAGATCAACAGAAAGAAGGACAAAAACCACATGATCATCTCCATAGATGCCAGAAAAGCATTTGACAAAATTCAACATCCATTCATGATAAAAACTCTCAACAAAATGGGTATAGAGGGCAAGTACCTCAACATAATAAAGGCCATATATGGCAAGCCCACAGACACCATCATACTTAACAGCGAGAAGCTGAAAGTGTTTCCTCTAAGATGGGGAACAAGACAGGGATGCCCACTCTCCCACTGTTATTCAACATAGTTCTGGAGGTCCTAGCCATGGCAATCACACAACACAAAGAAATAAAAGGCATCCAGATTGGCAGGGAAGAAATTAAACTGTCCCTGTTTGCAGATGACATGATATTATACATAAAAAACCCTAAAGACTCCACTCCAAAACTACTAGGTCTAATATCTGAATTCAGCAAAGTTTTAGGATACAAAATTAATACTCAGAAATCTGTGACATTGCTATACACTAACAATGAACTAGCATAGAGAGAAATCAGAAAAACAATTCCATTCACAATTGCATCAAAAACAATAAAATACCTAGCAATAAACCTAACCAAGGAAGTGAAAGACCTATACTCTGAAAACTACAAGACACTCATGAGAGAAATTAAAGAAGATACCAATAAATGGAAACACATCCCATGCTCATGGATAGGAATAATTAATATTGTCAAAATGACCATCCTGCCTAAAGCAATCAATAGATTCAATGCAATTCCTATCAAAATACCAACAGAATTCTTGAATGAACTACAGAAAATCATCCTAAAATACATCTGGAACCACAAAAGACCCCAAATAGCCAAAGCAATGCTGAGAAAGAAGAATAAAGCTGGAGGATTATGCTCCCCAACTTCAAGCTCTAATACAAAGCCACAGTAATCAAGACAATTTGGTACTGGCACAAGAACGGACCCATAGACCAATGGAACAGACTGAAGAGCCCTGATATAAACCAAACCATACATACTCAATTAATATATGATAAAGGAGCCATGGACATACATGGGGAAATGACAACTTCATCAATAGCTGGTTTTGGCAAAATTGGACAGCTAAATGCAAGGCAATGAAACTGAATTATTGTTGAACCCCATATCAAAAAGTAAACTAGAAATGCATCAAAGACTTGAATGTAAGTCATGAAACCATAAAACACTTAGAAGATAACATATGCAAAAGTCTCTAGAATATAACTTTGAGTAACTTCTTCCTGAATGCATCTCCTCAAGGAAGGAGAACAAAAGTAAAAATGAACTCATGGGACTATATCAAACTAAAAAGTTTCTGTATGGAAAAGGACATCATCAAAAAAATAAAAGTGCATTCTACAGTATGGGAGATTATATTTGTAAATGACATATCCGGCAAGGGGTTAACATCCAAAATATATAAAGAACTCACATGCCTCAGCACCCAAAAAGCAAATAACCCAATGAAAAAATGGGCACAGGACATGAAGAGACAGTTGTCCAAAGAAGAAATTTAGATGACCAACAGACAGATGAAAAGATGCTCAACATCGCTAATCATCAGGGCAATGCAAATTAAAACCACAATGAGGTATCACGTCACACCAGTAAGGATGGCCAGTGCCGAAAAGACTAAGAACAACAAATGCTGGCGAGGATGTGGAGAAAGCGGAACCCTCCTACACTGCTGGTGGGAATGTAAGCTAGTTCACCCATTGTGGAAAGCAATATGGAGGTTCCTCAGAAAACTAAAAATAGAAATACCATTTGACCCAGGAATCCCACTCATTTTAATTTACCCAAAAATTACAACTTCTCAGATTCAAAAAGACATATATGCCCCTGTTTATCACAGCACTTTTTACAATAGCCATGATATGGAAGCAACCTAAGTGTCCATTAGTAGATGAATGAATAAAGAAGATGTGGTACATATACACAATGGAATACTACTCAGCCAGAAGAAAGAAACAAATCCTACCATTTGCAACGACATGGAAGAAGCTGGAGGATATTATGTTCAGTGAAATAAGCCAGGCAGAAAAAGACAAGTGCCAAATGATTTTCCTCATATGTGGAGTATAACAACGAAGCAAAACTGAAGAAACAAAATAGCACTGAACTCAGAGACTCCTAGAATGAACTAGTGGTTACCAAAGGGGAGGGGTGTGGGAGGGTGGGTGAGGAGGGAGGGAGAAGGGGATTGAGGAGTAGTACGTTTAGTACACATGATGTGGGGGATTACTCTCTAATGACATTTTCACTTTTATTTTCCTGTTTCCTTCTACATTAATTTCAAATTATCTGTAAAGTTTCCAATTCTCTAGGTACTAGACTGAAGATGAACATAAGATGGTGTACTCACAAAGGAAAACAAGATTCAGCAGTCACATTCTCAAACAGTATACAATATTTACACATATCGGATACAGTTATTCACTCATTAATGATCCGCTATGGCTAGACAAAACCAGGAAACTCTAGTTGTAGTATTACCTGTGACCAATTCATTCTCTTCATGGACACCTCGGGTTTATATATCTTTTTCTGCTTCATCCCATAAGGTAGAACAGGTGGTGCTCCAAAGACAGGTGGTGGTGGTGGAACACCAGGCATTCCAAGTAAAGGAGGTGGGGGAGGAGGTGGGGGAGGAGTGGGAGCTCCTCCAGGTAAAGGTGGTGCTGGTGGAGGTGGTGGTGGGGCTGGCCCACCACCTGGTGGTGGAGGCGGACCCGGAATTCCTGATGAACCTGAGAGTCCATGTCCCTGAAATACATAATGCAATGTTTAGAGGCCTGTAGCAAAATATAGTAGCAAAGAAAACTTATCAGTAGATATCTGTAGGTTTAAGATTATGTCATTTTATTTAATTTAGCAACATTCTAAGAGTTTAACAGTACATGAAAAGACTTGCATAGATTTTTGATAAGCTTTAAAAACTCTGGACAATGACTACTGTTAACACATGAATGCTAGGAAAGTTAGTATTCTCAAAGATTTTGTAAACATTCCTCCAAAATAATGAAAAATTACTTTTTATTATAAATATCTACCAACAAGAAGTACTGTATGGAGCTTAGGCTTGTTAGACTAGTTGCGTTGAATATGGAATAAATAATACATAGTCATAGATTTCGTCTTCTTGAGGGCCAACTACCTTTACAAAGAATCTGTCTCATAGCACCAGTAACTTCATTGTTTTCTAATACCAACAATTTATACTAAGGAACATCCATTTGCTCTATCACTATATTACATCCATAGTAATATGTGTTTACCAATATTTTTAGATCTATTCTTTCTTTTTATCCTTATTATAACCCTGTCACATAGGTACTTTAACCTCACCTTCATCTCACTGCTTATAGATGAGGAAACTATAACTGCAAAAACATTAGATGGATACTCAAAGGTCACACAGTCTAAAATCTGATTAAGATTTGAATGTGGTTCTTCTCATACCTAATGTAGTCCTCTTTCCACTACAGCAGACTACCTCCTCATGAATAGAAGTCACTTGCCATGATGGGAGTTAATGCACAGAGATTGTGTTACAAGGAGAGTATAACTTACTTCTACAAGAAAATAACTTCAAACTCATTCTGCAATCATAATAGATGGCAGATTTAGGAGATCTTTGCATTCCATATTGTCTACATTTTTGATTAACCTATACCAGTTTCTTTAAACCATTACTGATCACAGTGATTCACTTTCCAAAATAAATTACTGTAAGTTGAAGTTGTTTATTATAAACATTTCTACGAAACTCCTACCAATGAACAGATGTATTTGTAATCAAGATGTGACATTAGGTTTACCAAATGAAAGGTTTAAAAACAATGAAATTTCTTGGTATAGTATTATTTTTATTTGGGGAGGTAGTCTTATCTTTATTAATATGAATTTCCTACTTGGATTACTGAATTATGGTAACTAAACTTATAAATATCTTCATAAAATAAATGAGTTGAAGCATACTTTGAAACAATCAATTTAAAAGACTGATCTACTTACAAAAATATTTTTAAAAATTACTAATCATAGGTAGATAGGATCACAAAAATGTTTCTCATAATATTTGATGTGCATTATAAAAATATTTTATTTACATATATGAATGTTTATGTGGTTGTATTTAACAAATGACAATTCTCTCCTGGAATGCAATCTTTCCTAAGATTAGGAAGAATTAAATATAGGATTAACACAGGCAAAATTCTTTTAATTTCATTTTTAATGCAACAAAGTTATAGAAAAGAGTCTTATTTTTATAACTGATTGAAATCAAATAAATTCTAGAGAAAATCAATATACTCTTTCTGGGAAGTTCAGGGAATTAGTAATTTACAAGTTTTGTGTATAAATGGATTTGCTGTATAATTTGAAAAGTAAAATGTATATTCCATTTCTTTAATACTATACAGCAAAGATTAAATACATGTTTGTAAACATCAAACGTTGCCTCTAGTAGAGCATATTCATGGTATAAAACTCGTGCAGCCATAAATATGCTATTACTTTAATATAGAATTTTACTCAAGTTAAATACATATTTCAAAAATTTAATAAAGAATCTCAAACATTTACATTAAATGCCATCAGTCTTTGAAAATCAAATCATATCAGCCTTTTTCTTACCTCCCATGAACAATTATGAATGGGGCAATAATATTAGGCTATAATAGAGCATTGAGAATTGAATACAGTAAATAAATAGTTTAACACTTGACACAATTTTGGGTGCACTAGAAAGGACTATGTGACTTTCCACATTTACAGACTAGTTAATGCAATAATAAATAAGCAACTACTCACTAAATGGTAAGGTTCTATGCTAGGTGTAGTAGGGCCTTGAATGAGAATCAGAATAGTAAGTAAAGAAGACATTGTCCTCAAGATGCTTATGCTCCAGTGGAAGAAATAAAGAAGGCTCACAAACAATATGATATGATTGGTCTACAAAAGTGATATCCAAGTTCAGGAAAATTCCCTAATGAGGTTTTTGGTGAAGCTTTCCAAAGGATGTTTTACTGACCTTACCCTTAAAGGATGTTTCCAGGCACCGATGAACAAGGAAGGGCATTTCTGACAGAGAATCACAGTCCACATTTCTCAACTAAGTTCCACGAAAACACTATTTCCCGGGCAATGTTAATAGGGAGTCAGAGATAATTCTGTGGTTAAGTGAGTTTGGGAAAGCTGTATCAAGAAGAGTTAGACAAGTTTCTTCAGAGCAGACTATCTCAGAACCTTTAATATGTTAATGTGTATAGAGATTCTCCAAGTGGAGAATTTCAAGTACATCAAATTTATTGGATTCTGGAATGCTTTCCTCATAAAAAAAACCTATTAGCATCTTTGTAACTAACACCTGGGAAATGCTAGCACAAGGAACAGTGTAGAGACAGTAAATTCTAAATGTTAAGGGAGGAAAGGTGACTTAGCTGCAACAGAAGCTGTAGTTAGGGAGCTGTCAGAGACTAGGCTGCAAAGGGTCGATATGGAAGCCCAGGATAGAAGGCCTTTCAGATTCCTGGTAAGGAGATTTTTATTTAATCCTGAATGCAACACATAACCACTGAGCATATTAAAGCCTGAAGTGACAATAATCAGGGCAGTGTTTTGGAAGATTCATTTGCCCCTGACATAAAGGATGAATTTGAGGAGGAATAAATTATAGGCAGGGAGAAAAGTTAGGAAATAATCATAATATTCCAAGCAGGAGATAATGATGGTGGCCCTGGAGGGGTTCTGGGTTTGATGCCAGGGAAAAAAACTGGAGTAAGAGCTGACTTCAAACAGCGACAAACAATTTGCCAAAGGGTGGAGCAGGGAAAAGGCAAAGAAACTCCAGTTTCACTATAGAAAAAACTGGTGATAAAACATAAACAAGAATGGAAACCGAACTAGTTTGAGGAAAGGGAGGTAACTGGAAATAATGGGTTTGAGTTCAACATGCAGAAGGACATTTCCACATAGAGCGTTATCAAGGGCTAGAAATACAAGACAAACTCAAGGGCCCTGACACCTACTAAAAGGAGATATTTGAATTTACGATACTGAATGGGATATTAGTGCAAGAACATACAGAGAAAAAGAGTAGAAGACTACAGAATGTCACCATTTGGTGGGTGAAAACAAAGAGAAACTGAGTTCTCAGAGACGTGAAAAGAGAAATCGGATGGTACAAAAAAAGAGAAAGATTCAGTGAAAAGAAACTGTTAAATGTTATACCTAAGTGAAATAGGCTACAGGTAGGAAAAGGTCACTGCATTGGGCAATTTGGGGTTCACTGGAGACTTCTGAAGTCATTGTTCAGAAGACTAATGGGAACAACTCTAGTCAATCAACACTTACTGAATATCCACTATGTTAAGAGGAAACTTTCCATTGCTTAATATTCATTTAAAACATAAAATGCATTGAGACTACTTAATCAGTTCTGAAGTTTAGACACCATAATTAAGGCTTTAAGTATATATGGGAGCTTTTCACCATTAAGAATGTAAGTAGAAATGTAAAGTTTATAGGTTTCAAAATTATGGTAGTCAAGATTTAAACAGGTCTCAAAAGGCTTTAGGGATAATTAAAATTAATGAGCATTTCCACATTCTTTTTGAAAGAAAACACAATGCATCTAATTTTTCAAACCATCATGAAAATTTTATCTCAAAACAGTTTTGCTTATGTAATACATTCTATTAAAAATATTCAGGGCAGTTTAAACCACTAATGCCTTATTTCTATCCAAACAGTAAAATGATTTATTGTCCTGGAAAATCAAATCTGTCGAGTTACTTCAACTAAAATGTGAAACTGCCAGAAAGTCTGCTTCTGGTCACATTTTTCCTTCCATCTAACAAGATAATTTTCTACCATCAAACTCACTGTGACATGACACAAAGTCTATATCTTGTTTCATTACCTGGGTTCGAAGTTGCTGGATTTCTGTTTCGAGCTCTTTGATTTTTTCTTCTCTTTTCTGAAGCTCAGCCTGAGCTTCCTGTCGAGCTGTGAATTCTTCATCGAACTGCAATGATCACCACCATAAATGTATACTTAATAATACATTTTTGAGAAAGCTTTAAGCAACATTATGTGTTAAATAAGTAGAGTGCGTCTTGCTTCACTGAATTCTCAGGTTACTCAGAAAATCCAAATTCTTGATTATTTTCATGACAATTAAGCACCCTGTGGGAGTTGGGGTATTTGAGGTGGTAGTAAAAAAGAAATATGCCCTCAAACCAAGGTAACAAACCCATTACCCATTTTCACTTCTGAAAAAAAAATTACAAAATTTTAAAAGGGGGGATGAAGAAATTTCTCTTTACATGTAATGGATATTTTTATTGTTTTGTTATTGAAAGTTACCTATCTAGAGTGAATACTGCTTATACCCAGCTATAGAATGTTTGCCCTTTAGTATCAGTGTCACTTCAACTCATTTTAGAAGTCTATGCATTATGCCAATGTCGTCATTTCTGTTTCTAAAAGTGATCTATCTTAGTGTCTAGAATTGTCCTTCAAGTTTGTGGAACTACAAAAAAAGTATGTTCACTGTTGATAAATACTCATCCTCACAATGGATTTGAACTTTGAAAATTATAAAATGTCATTCAGATTCAAGTCAGAAGAAAGAGTGGGTGAACAAATTGGATAATCATAGTGCTTGGGTCAGATCTGAACTACTACTTAATTCTTTTATTCATCTCTACTTGGATCCTGGGAAAATATCCCACAGAATTTGGTCCAAATCTTTCTGATCTCTTTAAATTTCAAACCTACACCAGCTCTTCGACAGTAAGTGACCTTGTTTCCTAGGTCACTGAGAAGATGTAACTTTTTTTCAACTTGACTACTATTTAAGATTAATCTGATTCTATGCTCCCACCCTCCCTCCCAAAGCCAGCTTCTCCTGTGAGCCATTCAACCATGGTGTCTACCCAAGGATACTGTACACAATTTTCCTCCACATGGTTCATTAATTGGTACATTTGAAGAGAGGCCCCCATGTTTCCACTTCTAATTTAACATGATGGGTTTACAGATCTAGAGTAGGAATCATAGAAGCCTGACATATGTAAGCTGACAGACTTTTTACAAGTCCACAAAACTTATCCTCTCCTTTTAATGATGAAAAAACAAAAAAAGATCCAGTGAGAGTAAGTGACTTACTTAGTCACAATTAGTGAGTGGAAAAGCTGAGATCAGATCTTACCACTGCTACTTCTCATTCTAGTGCACCCTCCACCCCACACCTTTTGCCTCTACTGCTTTATACTGCCTCTTAAAGTCACCCAGAATAAGAGAGGGAATGCAGACAACCACTGGGAGACCATACATGGTCTCATTCTAAGTGTGGGTGATGAGAATAAAGCATCAAAGGCTGAAACTTCTTTTTTATTATTTCAGGACTCTTTTTTTCATAATACACTTACAGAAAATTTTATCAGATGGATCATCAAAATTTGCTCTAGTCCTGTGGTTTCTCACAGTGCCAGCAAAAAATTGAGGAGATTCTCAGATTTCAAAGGGAATTTAAAGGTGCTACTTAAAAGAACATTAGAGACATAAAGGTCTATTAATCAAAAAGTGTGCATTTTCATCCACCAATAAAAATGACAGCTTCACACAAACATTTTATGCTCAAGCTCTTAAAGTCTATTCTAGTAACTGAAAGAGCAAAGACATTTCTTCAGGTGCCCTGAAGTAACTTCAGTAATACTCTATAATTTCTAGAGTGATAGCAAAAGTGATTATCTAATCTCCAAGGTAAGTCATAACTTTGAAGAGACAGCAATATGTAAGCACTTTATCTTGCTGTCAGAAGGCTGAAAGCTGGAGAGCTTTTAGACTTGTGCTTCAATCTTTCTGCCTGCCACCAACAGAGGAGAAATGCTATACTAACAATCCATACGGTCTAAAACAAAAAAATGCAACTTTGGGGAGAAGCTAATAAAATCGTGGCTATGCATTTATGAAACAAACAAAAGATAATCTGAGATATAAATTTCTTAAATAGTCATAAAATTTGCATTTACATAAGCCATTAACACACAAAGGAAGGAGAACCACAAATTTCACCAAGTATACGTGAAGGCAGCATTATTTAAAAAATGGCAATTACAAAATTCAAAGAAGATAACTATAGGCCGAGAGAGACAGAGAGAAAACATTGCATCATTCTGTTGCTATCAATAGCACTGACTTTAAAGAGCATAACAGACTTGCTAAACATCTCACAGTTCTCCAAGTATCTATTGTGAGAGCTGCAGGAAAGCAATGGGTGAATATATTTTAGTTGATTGGTTCTAAATATATCCTTCCAGCAAACTAATTTAATTTCATTTATCACTTTCGTTGAATATGCCTAGTGTTTTTCTTCCATAATGGATTCAAGGTGTTGAGGAGGGAACAGTAACAGCCTTATCTTATCAAGAAAGAAATCAATATTCTGTGGTTCTGTTTGAACCCAGAAACATAAAGTACTACATAACTGAAACAACATGCATAGGTCCATATAAAGAAACAAGAGACAATACGTATTGTGATTAAATTGTTAACTTAACAATTATGGCTAATATTATAAGCCTTACCCTCTTTGAAAATTCCACTGCTTTTTGTTCACTCTCTTCAACTTTCGCCTTGTTCACACAAGAATCTAAGATTGACAATCAAGGATTAGAAATTATTGCACCAGATATCTAGGCAAAATATGGCTGCCAGACTGTAATTCCACTCTGTAGACAGTCATTTTTATGTCAATTGCTATTAAAGGGAAATTGACCTATACTACACATAAAACATAAACTATTTCATTTTTTTTGCATACTAACTGAATTCAATGATAGTATTGCTGAGGCACAAAACCAAGCAGTTAAGAATATATTTGACTAAATTATAATCATTTTAAATGTATTTAATTATTTTCCAAATTTAACAATTATAAAATTCTTTTAAAAATTTTTTATAGTTTATTATGGATGGAGAGGTGCCAAAGAATCTACGCTTGAGATTATTCACTCAAAATAACCTTTAACATAAGGCTTAGAGGGAAAGATACAATACCATTCATTAATTCAGGTTTCTTAAAGAAAGACTTCACTTAAATAACTTCTGATCTGGGGCAGAATGTAAATGAGGAAATGAACATAAAACTTCTCAGGTTTCAGCAAACATTCCAGAATATAAATAACTGAAGAATCTCTTTGGGGCAATATTCTCATTATTGCATATACAGTCTATTCTGTACCTAGCAACTTCATACCTATTTATCCAAAAGAAATGAAAATATGTGTCTAACCCAGACATGTATATGAATGTTCACAGCAGATTTACAAAAGCCAACAAGGAGAAGGAGCCCAAATGCCCATCAACAAGTAAATGTAGAAGCAAATTAGGGTATGTACACATACTGGAATACTTCTCAGTTATAAAAAGCAATGAACTATTGATACATGCAATACAACAACCTGCATGAAACTCAAAATAATTATGCTGAATGAAAGGAAATAGATAAAAGGAAAATACATGTTGAATGTTTCTAGTTATATAAAGTTTTAGAAAGTGAAACTTATCTATAGTAAGAGAAAGCAGATCAGTTATTATCTCAGGATGAGGAGAAATGGGAAGGCCTGAGAAGGAGAGTCTACAAAACAATGCAGGAACTTTAAGGGTTGATAGAGATATTTAACATCTTGACTGTGATGGTAGTTTTAAGGGTACACACAGATATCAAAAAGGATCCAATTTTATACTTTAAGTGTAGGTAGTTTTCTCTCATGTCAAGTATACCTCAATAAAGTTTTTAATTTTCTTTTTTCTTTTAATGAACTGTAGCTGGAGCAAGCCAACTAAGGAAGGAATTGGTAAGTGATGAGATAAAAGAGGGGCCATATCTGTGCTGTGTGGACAGTGGTTGGTAACGATTTTTATTTAAATTTCAAGGGGAAGGCACTGGAGAGTTTTAAGCAAAGATATGATCTCATTTATGAAAAATACTAGAATTACAGCACTGTGAAATAAGATTGTGTGGAGCCACATAATCTTAAAACAGAGATGCAGAGATTCCTAGTTCTTGAAGCACTAGCTAATTTTTGTGTGTATGTGCATGTGTGCGTACATGCATTCAAATGAAAGTTCCACAACGTTCATCAGTTACTGAAAAAGGCCTCTGATCATGAAATATTAAGAATCACACATATATCTGACTTAACTGAATTTAATGTTGAGGAAACCAAAGCCTAGGGAAGTTAAATGATTTATTCACAACCACAAAGATGACACATGGATAAAGTAATAATAGGTTACTGATGCTGACTATCCGCTCTCCTTGATTCCTTCATCTCTTCCCACCCCAATGCTCTTGATTTAACAGTACTCAATCTTAAGTACCTGGCAAACAGTACATAAAATAAATGTGTGTAGAACACTAAATGAGCTAGCCAAAAACAACAGTAGATTATGTGTGTCAACTATGGTCCATAATCAATTAGTAAGCCAATATAAATATTTAGAAATATTCCCCTATAACACTATCAACAAAATATGAAATAAACTATTGGGTTTATCAAGCTCAGTGAAAAACATGCAATAAGGATACCATTCACATTAATTGCTAGGCAAGTTAAATTGGTACATGCTTTCTGAAAAGTATTTGGCATTTCAAGGTTCATACTCTGACTTACAGGCCTCAATCCTAAGGAAATAATGAGAAAAAAACAACATTTATACAAACAGTCACAGCAGATTCACTTACAATTAAGAAAACCCGAAAATAATCTAGATTTTTTCCAAAAGAAAAGGACTAAAGATGACTATGATAGTCCATAAAATGGAATATTATACATTCAAAGCCACATTTTGAAGGTTAACATGGAAAAATTCTCATAATGATCCATGAAAAATCAGATAAAGAAGAGAGACAGACATGCAGAGAGAAAGAAAAAAATTTCTGATCAGAACAGTGAGATTAGTGGTTTACTCTGCCACTTACATAAATCTCTAGATTGCCTAGAATAAGAGAGCATTAGTTTTAAAATCAGGAAGAATAATACATGATAAATAATAAGGAATTTATCTTTGAATATTACTGAAACTGTCCTATGCTATAGAGTAAATAATAATATATAATCAGCATTCAACAGTTTTGTTTTCTTCCTTTAAAGATAAGACAAATGAGTTCATGTTTAAATCTCAGCAATGGTGAACTTGATTAAGTATAAATAAAACTGCCTAACTGTAAGGTCACATAACATAACATATTTCACAAAAAAGGTTTCACATCATCCTTCTGGGATTACTCCAGAAAGTATAGCTAACAATGAGTCTAGGATGATATAAGGTCATTTCTTCAGCAATGCAAGTAGATCAACCTGATCATCTCAAATTCTTACCTAGTTCTAAGATCTACAAAAATATAAATTTATCTATCTTGATATAATTAAAAGATCTTAAATTACTGAAATAAGCCTGTATTTCTTTTCTTAAACTTAAACACTAATAACCTAGCTGGATTACTAATTAGACCCTATTGTGCACATGATTGCTAAAAAATCACTAAGGTCTAAGTATAAACTGAATCAAAGGGTTTCAGAGTAATGTTTCTAAAAGGTCACACATTTGAAAAGTTATATGCTAAAAAACTGTATAACCTAGAAGAAATGGACAACTTTCTAGAAAAATATAACCCTCCAAGGCTGACCCAGGAAGAATGGGAAATCTGAATAGACCAATTACCAGCAACAAAATAGAATTGGCAATCAAAGAATTTCCTAAGAACAAAATCCCTGGACCAGAAAGTTTCACTGCTGAATTTTATCAAAGATTAATTGAAGATCTAATACTCATCCTCCTTAAAGTTTTCCAAAAACTAGAAGAGGAGGGAACAATCCAAAACTCATTCTATGAGGCCAGCATAACTCTGTACCAAAACCAGGCAAAGACACCACAAAAAAAGAAAATTACAGACCAATATCCCTGATGAACATAGATGCTAAAATCCTCAACAAAATATTAGCAAACTGAATTTAAAAATACATCAAAAAGATCATCCATCATGACCAAGTAGGACTTATTCCAGGGATGCAGGGATGGTACATTTGAAAATCCATCAACATTAACAAAAAGGACAAAAACCACATGATCATATCCATAGATGCCAAAAAAGTAAAATTCAACAAAATTCGACAAAATTCAACATCCATTTGTGATAAAAACTCTCAACAAAATGGGTACAGAGAGCAAGTACCTCAACATAATAAAGGCCATATATGACAAACCCACAGACAACATTATATTCAACAGCGAGAAGCTGAAAGCTTGTCCTTTAAGATCAGAAACAAGACAAGGATCCCACTATCCCATCTTTTATTCAACATAGTTCTGGCGGTCCTAGCCATGGCAATCAGACAACACAAAGAAATAAAAGGCATCCAGATTGCCAAGGAAAAAGTTAAACTATCCCTGTTTGGAGATGACATGATATTGTATATAAAAAACCCTAAAGATTCTACTCCAAAACTACTAGATCTAATATCTGAATTCAGCAAAGGTGCAGGATACAAAATTAATACAAAAAAAATCTGTTGCATTCCTATACACTAATGATGAACTCTAGCAGAAAGGGAAATCAGAAAAACAATTTCATTCACAATTGCATCAAAAAGAATAAAATACCTAGGAATAAGCCTAACCAAGTAAGTGAAGGACCTATATTCTGAAAACTACAAGATATTCCTGAGAGAAATTAAAGAAGATACCAATAAATGGAAACACATCCCATGCTCATGGATAGGAAGAATTAATATTGTCAAAATGGCCACCTTGCCTAAAGCAATCTACAGATTCAATGCAATCCCTACCAAAATACCAACAGCATTCTTCAACAAACTAGAGCAAATATTTCTGAAATTCGTATGGAAGCACAAAAGACCCCAAATAGCTAAAGCAATTCTGAGAAGGAAGAATAAAGTGGGGACGATTATGCTCCCCGACTTAAAGCTCTACTACAAAGCCACATTAATCAAGAAAATTTGGTACTGACACAAGAACAGACTCATAGATCAATGGAACAGACTAGGGAGCCCAGATATAAACTCAAGCATATACGGTCAATTAATATATGATAAAGGAGCCGTGGATATACAATGGGAAAATGACACCCTCTTCAACACCTGGTGTTGGCAAAACTGGACACCTACATGTAAGAGAATGCAACTGGATTATTGTCTATCCCCATACACAAAAGTAAACTCAAAATGGATCAAAGACCTGAATGTAAGTCATGAAACCATAAACCTCTTAGAGGAAAACATAGGCAAAAATTTCTTGAATACAAACATGAGCAACTTTTTCCTGAACGCATCTCCTTGGGTAAGGGAAACAAAATAAAAAATGAACAAGTGGGACTACATCGTGCTAAAAAGCTTCTGTACAGCAAAGGACACCATCAGGAAAACAAAAAGACATCCTACAATGTGGGGGAATATATCTGTAAATGACATATCTGACAGGGGGTTAACATCCAAGTATATAAAGAACTCACACGCCTCCACACCAAAAAGCAAATAAACCTATTAAGAAATGGGCGGAGGATATGAACAGACAGTTCTCCAAATAAGAAATTCAGATGACCAACAGGCACATGAAAAGATGTTCCACATCATAATCATCACAGAAATGCAAATTAAAACTACAATAAGATATCACCTCACACCAGTTAGGATGGCCAACATAGAAAAGACTAGGAACAACAAATGCTGGTGAGGACCCGGAGAAAGAGGAACCCTCCTACACTGCTGGTGGGAATGTAAACTAGTTCAACCATTGTGGAATGCAATAGGAGGTTCCTCAAAAAACTAAAAACAGAAATACCATTTGACCCGGGAATTCCACTCCTGGGAATTTACCCAAAGAAAACAACTTCTCAGATTCAAGAAGACATATGCACCCCTATGTTTATTGCAGCACTTTACAATAGCCACGATATGGAAGCAACCTAAGTGTCCATCAGTAGATGAGTGGATAAAGAAGAGGTGGTACATATACACAATGGAATACTATTCAGCCATAAGAGAGAAACAAATCCTATAATTTGCAATAACATGGATGGAGCTAGAGGATATTATGCAGAGTGAATAAGTCAGGCAGAGAAAGACAAATACCAAACGATTTCCCTCATTTGTAGAGCATAACAACGAAGCTAAACTGAAGGAACAAAATAGCAGCAGACTCCCATACTCCAAGAAGGGACTGTGGTTACCACAGGGGAGGCATGGAGGAGGGCAGGTGGGGAGGGAGGGAGAAGGGGATTGTGGGGTATCATGATTGGTGAAGATGGTGTGTCTGGGATCATAGGGAAGACAGTGTAGCTCAGAGAAGACAAACAGGGACTCTGTGGCATCTTACTACACTTATGGACAGTGACTGCAATGGGGTATGGGGGGGACTCAATAATAAGGGTGAATGTAATAACCACATTGTTTTTCTTCTGAAACCTTCATAATAGAGTATATCAATCATACTTTAATAAAAATAAATAAACAAATAAAACTAATATCCACATAAAAAAAAAGCAAGGCATTCATATATAGCATAATGTTTTTTTATGGGGCCCTGATTTTTAAACTCCAATCAAGAGTGTTGAAACTTACCAAACAGGTTAATATTTTAAGTCACACAAGCAGAACTCTCGTGATCATCATAATTAACAATTACAGGGATTGAGTACCAAAGGAAATAATGATTTACCAGATATTAATAGAAGAGGTTCATTGAGAAAGCTACCTTTAACATGTGCCTATTATATAAAAGAGAGTAAAACATAATCAAAGGACATTGAGGATTATAATACATACCTATGAGATGAGTGAGATCAATGTCTAATCTTTGCCTGTACTTGAAATCTGGGTCCATGCCACTGCAGTGCAACACTATCTGTGAAACACACTCCTCAATTATTTTATAATACTGTGGCCTAAAAAAAGAGAAAGTATTCTTGACTATCTTTTCTACTCACACAAATCAATTTTCTTTAGAAGTGCTTCATCATGATAAAAGAACTAAGTCTTTTTCCTCAGGAGAACAATGTCTAAGCTTAAAGATGGTCTGGACATCATAGCACAAAACCCTACTGTGAACTGATCAACTGTGAACACTTAGTAACTGAATACTCTAGTTTGCAGGGATTCTTGCTTGTGCACAAAGATACTTATCAACCTTATTTACTTAGTTACGCTATTATTCCTAAAGTTAATGAAAACAAATGGCCTATTAGCCGTATATCCATGAGTACAGAAATGGATCTACGCCTCTACAAGTTCTCAATTGAATAAGGGGTGAGTGTTTTGGCATTAGGTGACAAGCAGTGGCTTGAATTTACTACAACAGTTTTACTCAAGACTAGCTATAACAGCTTATAAAACTAGACTGAGCCTCTTATATTACAGACTAGTTCAAAGAACTATTTATGTGCATATTTAAAAGATACATTTTATAGAAGTATACACACTTAATATGCACTGCTATAGCCTCAATTTGTTCAAAGTGTCAAAGTTTTCAAAACATTTCCAAATTCTGTAATCTATCAGGGTAATTCTGATTTTAAAAATAACCACTTGCATACTTCAAAAAGTTTTAAGAGGCATTTTTTGCATTCAAATTTGGGGAAAATTTAGTATTTATCAGTGGCTAGTAAATTTGACAGAGAAAAATCAGTGAGAAATACTGCTATAGGCAAATTATGACATAAACATCCCTAAAATTAGTGTTCTGATAACTAGCCAACCTATTAAAAGTTTGCAAATGAAGCCTAACAGATTCTAATTGCTCTTATATATCTGTTGTCATGGGGCTGGTCTCAAGAATAAGAATAAATAGTAATACATATTACACATCTGAGGCTTTCTCAGGTTATCATCTAGCATAGGATAAATAATACTGGATTAAAATCACTCTAGTCAAGGACTCTTTGGGTAAACAAGGAAAAGAATTGTTCCCTTTGAGACTAGGTTAATTATCAAGTACTTGTTACACTTCTCAAGTTACTGAGATTGTTTCACACAAATTATTTCCCTTAGGTAACTGCATACCTGTGGGCACAGTACCCCTTTAATTGCCCAAACATATTTTAGAAAACAACAATCATTTTAAATGCATTACCACCTTTCCTGCTTTAAAAAAATCATATAATTTAATATTTAAACATTTTTCTTTGTCTCTGTAGCACCATGAGGCCCATCAGTTACTGTACTGGTCTGAATTGTAATAGTTTTCCATATATCTTTAGAACTGTCATTTATATTGTGATGGTACCTAGCCCCATGGTACCTTCCTTTCTCCCTTTAATCAAGCAAGCTGTAAGAAATCAGAGAACCTAGGTTGCCAAAATTACATGCCTATTAGAGTATGAAGAATAACTAAGAGTCTTGAATAAATATTTGATCATAGTCACCAGTTTATGGGTATCAGTTACTCAGAAATGTTTCTCTAACTAACTGGTTTTCAGATATATTCCTAGTTACTAGACTCTAAAATGTCTAACTTGGTGGATTATTATCATCATCATTTACTTTGAAGAATGACATTACTGGATATAAAGCTGAAATATTAGCATTATAATTTTCTTAGATAAGATCACATTAATTACTAGATAATACTATAAAAGAGAAACAACAGCAAAACCTTACTTATTAAAATGTATAAGAACTTAGAAGTTCTACCATGGACTCTTTAATGCCTACTCTGTGCTACCATTATCTAGCAAAGAAATTCATCATGGCATCAGTTAAATCTGTTGGGTTCATTGCTACTAAAAGTCCTGTTACTGGGGTACCTCGTTTTTATAAATAGATCTTCCTGGCCCAGTTAAAACTAAATTAATACCCTTAAAAAGATGTTACCTAAAGTTGTTAAACTCTTATACTGTACACACGTATTTATGCAACTACTGCACAACCCCAACTACATTCTTAATTTGCCTTTAATATCTAATTCAAAGCAAACAAATACTACTCTCATAACTGCCTCTTACCTGATAAAATAATCATTTCTGATCAGCAGAAAATGTTGTAGAATGGATAATAAGTAATTTTCAGCAGCAGTGTCCTTTAACATATTATACAGAAGATGGTATACTTCATTCATATCAGTGGAAAGTAAGTAAAGGAAAAACATCAAAGATTTCTTAATGAAAGATTCATTCATAACAAAAAAAGCTTCATTTTTTTTTAAAACACCAATGTTCCATTTTGTTTCCATTTCTATTTCTAAACTCCATGATCTAGTATTTAAAAATGTACATAATTTATGGAATCACTGTAATCTTTTAATGAGACAGAGATTTCCAAGATGATTTAAGTATCAAAACCTTAAATGATCAGTTATGTATTATATTTTAAATTCCAGATTATAGCTCGAACCATTGGAACAGCAATGCCATTAATAGAAATGGTGTTCTCTTAATCTTCCTGTGATTGTGATACGGGACTGATATTATTCATGTAAGCCACTACCTTCTCTATTTTCACTGCCATGTACAATAGAGGGCAAATGAGCATTGTGTGGACTGCTAAAAGATCACAAAAGCAGTTTTATTTTATACAGATGAAATACTAAATTCAAAATTATTATTGTTTCCATTCATTTGTATTGCATTATTTGATAAAAGATGGAGAGTAAAGACAATGCAACTTGAAACATTTTTCTTAGGATATAAAAAAAGTGGTAGAACTTTAAATGCTTTTAGTAAACAAGAAAAGAGATTTCAAAAATGGATTCACTTTTATCATAAAAGTGAGAGCCTGGAAAATCGATGTAAGAGAAAGGTAGGAGAGGAAATGTAATCCAGCATCCTAAAAATAACCTGAAATGTCAACATTTTCGCTGAAGTAGAATTAAGTATATGATGGATTACTTCTTAGACCCCATGTAAGAGTGCTGTGTTAAAGTCTCATGAGGTCCTTTAAATGGCTACAGAATGGATCCAAAAGTAGCTTTAAGATAAAGTTGGATTATAAGAGAATTATATATAAAGCAAGAAAGTAAGGTATGTATTAACTGATATAAAAAGCATTTGATATATGGAAACCACTGCAGACTAGAACCACTAATGATGGATAAGAAATTAGTAGAAATTATCCCTTATAATAATGAAATTGTTATTCATTGCATACACGTTTATCCAATATTTATGTATAAGACACTCTTCAATAGGAGCACTGGAGGAAAAAGATGAAGCAACATTTCTGCCCTCAATCTCACAGGAGTGTAGAATTCTACATAAATAAGACAGGAGGGGAATATTTCTTCCAGTTTTTTTGTTGGGGTGGAGGAAGAAGGAAGAAGACATCACAGAGAAGTCCAGCTCAAAGGTCATTCTGGTTCTAAAACACTTCGCAATTTCCCCAGAATCCATAGGTAGGAAATTTAATGGGTGTGAATCAAATAGCCAGCAATGCTATGATTTAAAATCATTCTGTATAAAATCATTGCCATAGGTCATTAAATGCTAATTGTGTTTAACACAAATGTTTCTACCACACAGCAGTTACAGTCAGATACTATCATATCTAAACATTTTTTTTTGTAAGGAGCCAAACTATTTAGATTGAGATTGAGGCATTTACTTGAATTTAATTATATTACTAAACTACTGGAGTACCATTTAATAAACTGAAAAAGTATATTACCTATAGTCATATATGAACTCAGTGAACTTTTCCCCAAAAATCCTTATACATGAAGTACATTGCCTTAGGCTCTTGTCTATTCAAGATGAGTGAGCAGAATATACCTATAATACAGCAAGCCATTGTGCAGACTTCAGTGCAGTCTGTGTAAATCATCAGGACAGTCTGACAGTTCTTTACATTGAATCTCAAGGACAGCATCATAATATAAATAAATGGATATAAATTGGGCTGGCAGACAAGAATTCTAATAATGGTCCACAAAATCATATGCAAATCCCTTTGTCACAATACATGCAAAATGATTTTTGTAGTTTGTCAAAAGGATATTCCATTTCTGCTCGAATGTCATTGAGACGGTGTGACAATTCAGTTAGGTCATCTTCTTTGTTCTCATCAAATACTTTCAACTGAATATCAAGTTCATCATTTTCTTTTTCTTTTAAATCCTAATATGCAAACATAAAACTTAGCAGATGAAAATAGTTTGACAACACCATACTTTGGTAATAAAGGCCAGACACCATTATTCATTTACATTAGAAGCAATTTTAAATATTGACCCAGGCACTTGGCTTCCTGAAGGAAAGTAGATGTACTGTTTTTCTCTTTTAAAATAAAAGAACCTTTTTGCATTCATTGTCTTTTCTTTTCATGCCCCAGATTTTGATTATTCACATTTGAAAATTAACGATCATGAAAAAAACTAATTGCTAAAAACCCAATTGAAGGTTGTCATTTTGACTAAACACACTAATAGAAGATCTCAAAAGAACCCATGCAGTTAGAACATTCACATATGCCTCTGGCAAAAAATGCAAATATAGATCAATTGTATTAATGAAGAACAAATGCAAGGATATATTCAAGCACAACAGTCCCATGTATGGCGCTAAAAGTTGTAACACATTTATTTTAAATGATATTTTGTGATTTTAAAGCAAAAAGGCATCAGCAATTTTTTTTAAATCAAGCTACATGTCTAGCCTCCTCCCCTACCTTTCATTTTTCCTTAGCCTAATCACAAAATACCAACTTAGGCATCAAAGTTTTGCTTTTGTAATACATCATATGCACATGCATTACAAACCTCTGATAATTTTCAAAATAATTGTATAAACAAAGTCTTTGGAAGCATGCCACACTAGAGATTGTTGGGCTTAATATATATCACCTGGAATATCTTTTAATATGTGTCCATTAAGTTGCAGCTTTCAAAGCTCAAATCGATAATCACAACTGTGGAAGCTCAAGTGTGATACCAAAAGCGGGAATAGGTTGTTCAGAGCTGAGCTTGAACTCCAAAAGGAAAAGCAAGCATGGTGTACTTCAAATTATGTCTATAAAACAAAATAGGATGCATTTCTTGTTTCGATTTTTTATTCAATAGAACAGTTATAAATGGGGATGTAATGGCTATTACTGAAGCCAAACACAAATGTATGCAATTTCTATATTTTTTTAACATTCACATACATAATAATTTACTGGAAATTCACCTACAGAGCATATGAAATAGTTTTAACGTTACTATAAAATTTCATATAAAATACATAACAAATGTATTCATACTTAGTTTCCTCTTTTAGGAATAATTTGTTTTAGGTCTAGTTTTCCACTTTTAAGGGGAATGAAGAAACCCATTGGAATGCAAAATAACATCAATGGGTCATATTATCAGGTGATTTCTGAGCTTTATTCAGAAAAGAGCAGAAGCTTGACATGGTATGGTGGACATGGCAGAAAACACCTTTAACACAATTTAGAATATGGACTTTTCCTTATTTTTATGCCACAATATATACTTTCTTAGATGTACACTACACAACTTGAACACATTCAAATATGTTTGAAAAATAAACAAAATCTAAGTTAAGTACTATCATTTAATTAGCATCAGAACTTTATAAAACATGGCATTAATCTGCATGATTAGAATATTTTTCAGTGAAAATAACTGGCTAAATGCTTAATTCAGTTTTTAATTAGGATAACACTTTATTTATTTAATACATATGGCATAGAACATGTAAGCACAATATAAAAATACAGACATATATATGCAACATATTGTTTATTAATAATGGTTCATTAAAATAAATATATATGCATATATACATACACATACATATATAAAGCTTCCTTTCAGTCAGATATCAAACCTTGAAAGATATATATGAATCCTTAATTAGCATTTAATGAATAGTTTTTATATAGCACAAATGCAATAGATATATTATAAAAGAAAATGGAAGTGTACCACTAAAGTTTTATATTTAAAAATGTAGAGTATCATAAAATTACTCTAAATTATATTTTAAAATGTAGAGTATCATAAAATTAGTAATAGTAATTACTAATTATGTAAAATATTGTAAATGTTTTAGTTACTTTTTAAACAGACCTACTATATAGATATGGAAAATTTTTGGCAGATTCTCCGAAACATATAATTAAATCTATATAATATAGTATACGGCAAAGGAAATTCCACTACCAGTATGGCTGATTACCAGTCAAGAAATCAAAACTGAGTCTGAGTCTTCAAAAGAATAAGAAGGGTCTGTCAGTCTTTTAAAAGAGATTATGAATGTCAGCTGTTTACGGACACAATTTCCTACTAACTTATTCCTCCACATATCTGATTTACCTAATATTTTCTTAACTTATTTAACTAAGTAAGGCAGATGGAGAAATTTTCACAAGATATAAATGTGAGTTTACTACACAGCAAATAGTATTTTAGAAATCACTGTAAAGTATGTAACAACTCATTTATCCTAACTTACTAAAACAAAATTATGAAAATTGCATTTTCCACATAAATGAAGTACAATCTCCTTTTAAACACCGTAATTTATCCATAGAGATGGGAAAATTGAAAATAAATTTTTACAGAATTAAAATAATTGTCCTTATCTTGAAGATTCTGATAATTATATGGAAAAAAGTTTTACTCTACTATAATATTATGATGGTCTCAGGGGTTAATGAAATACTAAGAACTATTCCTTCCTAATATTTAATGATTCCAGTTCTTTATAATTTTTTATCCATGTATCTACAAATTATATTAGCCCTACCCACATCTAATTTGTTGCTTTGAATATGATATATTCTAGAAAATTAGAGAGTGCCTCCTGTTAAGACAGTATATAAGAGAAAATTGGAAAAATTAAGGATTTAAAGACTCATCTATGAATATATTATTAAGCATCTATGCATGTGTAAAGATACTTAATGTTCCTATAAATTCTAGTGGCTTGAATTTAAGTATTTAGTAAGTTACATAGTTAATTAGATAGTAGTTGACATGCTAGGTACATTTAGAATATATTAAAGCATGACCATTCTGCCCTTTGCTCAAAATTGTGATGATAAAACTATAAGAACAAGAGCAGTGAGATCAATGATATTACAGAAAGGGTCTCGAATCTCAGGGTCTATCTGCCTGGATTCTGATTCTCATCTTATATCAGAAATGACTGTGTTGGATTTTCTTTTTTAAACCAAACATCTCTGCTCCACTCCCAATAAGAATTTGATAGACTCCCTTTAGGGGGATATGCCCAATGTCTTGGTTGAGAACCAGGGCCACATTTAGTTATGTTTTACCCCGTTAGGTAGAAAAATTATTGCAAATCCTTGAAGGTTCTATTCCAAAATTTTAGGAGGCAGAAACATGACACTTCCCACTTTTCTCTTGCTGAGGAGTCACACAGATCTGAGAAGCAGGGCATGGTGAAAAAACATGATAGTTAAAAAAAATCTAATTAGATGCATGCATTAATAATACATATATTAAGAAATACATGGTGCCACAAGAAGCCTTATACACAGCTATAGGGCCAAAGGGGAAGTGTAGCTTAGAAACAATGATGTGAAATCCTAGTTGTCACTGTAACCAAAATTCATTACTCAACAAACCATGAGACTACCGAACCTAGCAGCAATGAACACAACCAGCCAAAAATACAAAAGGTAAGGACAGAAATACTGTGCCTTCTCTTTCTGAAAAGATAAGGACTTAAATAAATTAAAAAGAGAATCACAGTGTTCTTGACAAGCCAGTCAGTAGTATAATGAATGTTCAATAGACAGGTAAATGAAAGATGGAAGAGTAATAGCAACAACTGAGGCAGAAAACATGGCATATTGGTAAATGAGTAGAGGATGATGCTATGGAGCCCGTGCAGCCAGCAAGTGTCCAAAGAAAGACATTACCCAGAAACAGAGAACCAGCACACAGCAGTGAGGACAAGCATGGAAACCAATGAGTAGGCAACCTTACTATCAACCCTAGAATCAAGACTATCATGTTATCTCTAGCCACCTAAGGCCACAGACTTTTCATGAGGAATGATCTGTGACAAAACGAGAATAACTACATATACTCTAACTAGTGAATGTGCCTAAGTTAACTGAGTACTGAACCTCTATACTGGTCACTCAAAATGCTGCTTTGATTCACTGTAACCAATTTCTTGGTTTTTAAAAGTCATGAATTAGAGAACCATTCAAAGTGGAATTGACACAGAACTTTCTAAAACCAGATAGACCCAGTCATACATCTTATTAAAATGGGTTTCAATAAACCCAATTGTACATTTTATGATGACTTTTCAACCACCTTCAGTTAAGATTATTACAATACAAGTTATAAATGCATGTCACACACTCATTCCTCACCAGAAAATTTACCTGATTTTGGTATTTCTAGTACCTTAAGTCTTACATACATGGTCACTAACATGTATTTTGTTTTGTTTTTTACTTTCCCAGGTCTTTTTTTTTTTCCTCCCTTACTTTTACTTCTTGTTTTTCAGGTGTGGTCTGAGTAGCTTAAATGAAGAGATGAGTGAGACTTTACTTGTCTCCTTTAACAATGCCATGCATAGTCTTGAAAAAATCCCTCTTCAGTTAACATGTTAACTAAAACATAAAGTCACAGTAGTTGTATTTGTATTTACAGAATAAGTGTGCTCATTTACCTCAGATCAAGCCTATAAAGTTATTTTAAAAGTACTTTTAACAGTATCATAATTAGAGCAAATATTCAATTTAAGAAATAAAATTGTTTTTCTTTAGAAAAGTTCCCATAGCATGATAACAAGAATACCATTCTTAAGTAATGTGTCTAGACTATACTAATACAAATTCTGTGTATACTTATGATGAATGTAAATGAAATCAATCTAAGTTACCAAAGAAGAAAGCAAACAATTTTAAATGAAAATTGAGAGGGAAAAAAACTTGGTCTTTTATGTTCTCAGTACTCAGAGAAAAGAAGCTCTCTTTCGACTTTAAGAAGACAAAAAAAAAAAAAGAAAGAAAGTACCCACAATACATCACTCCTGGACACATAATTAGATGACTTCTGAATTACTGGTTTATATAGAAACTGATACTACTGAAATATCAAAAAGCTTACAAAATGCCTAACGCTTTACAAAAGAAAACAGCAAAGAACATTTATTTACTCTGCTATGAGTACTTTTGTCTAAATAAATAAAAATGTTAAAGTTCATCAGCATAATAAATGTGTACATTCAACTTACTGGTAACATTGCTTTTAGTCCTGAACGCAGGAATTCATTCCTTAAATGTATACGAAAATCAAGCTCATAAGGAGAAGTGACAAGGGCATTTATAAACTGCATGCAGGCCACCTGAAATCATAAACCAAACTTTGTTACCAAAAAGAAAACATTTTTAAAAATTAAGGAAATATCTACTTAATGTATTTAGGTAATTATTTTCCCAATCACTAAAGGCATGTATATATACATATATATATATGAAAAAGGCAAATATTTATATGAGAATAAGGATGCTGACTTTACAGTATAAACAACAAAATTAACAATAAAGTTTCTAATGTACAGAATAATTCCAATGAAGATATGATAGATGATCAAGTACTGCTATACTTTGCTAAACAATATGAAGTAATATTAAATTCTCTCTAAGAAACTCAAAATTCTAAAATTATCCATACAGAGTCCTTTAAAAAGATCATGAAATGTATCTTTCAGATCCAGCTATCCTCAGAGTGCAATTGGCCTCAATTCTATATGGTTATAAACACATTTCTAAAATAAACCAAAGTTATAGAAGTACCCTGTTATTAAACAAGGAACAGTGATAACCTGGAGAAATTATTACATTGATTTATACTCTCTCCATCCTATTATTGGGATGCACAAAATAAATACACAGTATCAAAATATATGATTAAGGTGAATTAATTTGCTCTGCATAAAAAATGAATGCCAGTGAATTAAAATCAACTAGAAGGTACTATGACACAAATACTAATGTGTACTATATGATAAAGTAAATATAAGGGTAAGAGCTTATTTCAGGAGAAGGTGATTAATTAATTGTATTGACACTGTAAAATAGGTTTCACTTTTCTCATCTTCTGATATTGAGGTTCCCTATTATAAAAGGGATTTATATTCTGGTAATTATAAATTTGAAGGGAATCACCAAAACGCTAATTGCCAAGTGTTCCATACATGATTCCTGAACAGTATTTTTTGAAAATGCTGTTCATGTCCAAGGCACCTGCCTAGTAGTTTGAGAGAAGAGCTACACATTGAAACTGATTATTTTTAAAGTATGCAATCAGTAGTAATGTATTCAAAGAGCTGACTGCAAGGGGACTCCGGAAAAATACCAGATTTATCAAAGATGTTAAGTATATATAGAAGGGGACACAAATCAATAGTTAGAATGGGAAAAACACATCATCAAAGGAAAAATATTTTAAATGTATTTTTACTTGACTTATCCAGACTTACTATTATGATAGTTATTTTTTTCTACTAGAGAAAAAAGATTAAAAGGTATATATCTTTTATTTTTATATCTATAGCTTATGCACTTAAGCTGTTTTTGGGGAGATTAGCACATCTACCTCACATCCAGGTTCAAAAATCTAAAGTTGCACGTTTCAAAGGGGATGACTGATGTTGCTTGACATTACTAGATACCTAAATGATAACTGAAGAATGTAGCCCAATTCCTATGAATGCTCAAATGTCAAGATAAAACACCTAGATGACTATTTGCCACAGACTGAGCATTGCTAAGAAGATATTTTGAATAAATTATTATGATGATTATGCCTTAATGGGTTATTCAACCTTCCTACTTACAACAAGAAAACCTGTCTTTATACAGTTTCAGTAGGCTGGGATATGTTTGCATAATGTACATGTCCCTGGCTATATTATCATTGCATTTCCTTGAATGATCCTTGTTATGCTACAACTATGACATGACCCAACAAGCCAAAGTACATGTCTAATCCAAAATTAATAGAGAGAAAAGTTGCCATCTGCTAGGATTGTTTTTGCCAGAAGACATTCTAGCTTAATGGCTTGTATTAATACCCTACAACTAAAGAGAACATTTCCATAAAAAACAAGTTAATGAGTCTTGGAACTGTACCTTTATACCAACAGAAGTATTTCGATCAGATGATAAAAGGAGTAAAAGTCAATAAAATTAAAGAATGTATCAACATAAAAATGGCTTTACATTTCGTAATATAAATGTTGTAATGCTACTACTCACTTTATAGATATACATTAACATATAACTGAATATTGAAAAAAAAAGAAATTGCACCCATTGACTATAGTGTAATTGGGAGATGCTTTGATCAAGTAGTTTAAACAGGTAATGGCACTGGTTTATCAATATCATTGGTTATTAAATTCTCATAGATATGAAATTAATGACAAAGATGAATAGTCATAGCATCATGTCATATTCCAACATAATATGCCAAAGTAATACTCTTTTGTAGAAATACTTACATTGTATGAATGTGGAGAAAAAAAAATATCGTCTTTTTTTCCTTCATGCTACTAAACAACACTGCCCTTTACAGAGGACATGAATAAATCAATCCAAAATCAAAATAATTGCTACTATTTACAAATACAAAATTTAAAAATTTAAATATAATTAGTTTAAAAGGCAGAATATATTATTACTTCATTGTAAACATGAAGTGTCCATTGCATGGACTCTGAATTCATAGCTAAATACAAAGCCCCAAACTATTATTATCATTTTTATTTTGTTATTATTAGTTGCCAGGTAGTATTAGGTATTTTACATAAATGACCTCTACTCTCATCCTCATAAAAGCCACACAGTGTTACTATTACCCTTATTTCACAGATGATGAAGCTGAGGCTCAAAGCAGTTAACTTAAACAAGGTCACAGAGCAAGGAGGAAACTCATGATTCTAAACCCTATCCCTTTACTCCAAATATAGAATGATTTCCAGAACATTCCAGATGCCTCATAAACTCCATTCATAGATTCACACAACAAAAGATTTTAAGGATGGATAAGATAATAAAACTTAACTAGTGCATCATGTTTAATATACTAGGAAAGTTTAGCTTTGAAACTATAAGTTAATTAGATAAATTATTTTAACAATATGTTGTCTAGTATATAAAGTGGTTATATGTCAGTTATACCATAATAAAGACATAGTCATCATAATACATAATGAAATGCAAAAAAAAAGGAAAGGTAGAAAATAGTTCCTAGAATGTGTTATAATCCACTTTATACATATCCTGAACAGTAAAGACAACATCACATCACCAAAAATAATGGTCTCCACTCTCCTTTATCTCCTACCACCCCACTCCCTACTCAACATACATGTGCATGCAAATACACATATACACATATATACACTAGAGCTGTGCTGTTCAATACAGAGCCACTAATGACAATTTAAATTTAACTTAACTACAATTAAATAAAATTTAAAATCCATTTGCTCAGTCTCACTAGTCACAGTTCAAATGTTCAACAGTCACACTAGCCACAGGCTAGTAGTGGCTTCCATTGGACAGCACAGAGAAAGGACACTGTGGGAAATTTGATTGGATAGCACTATACTGGAGACTAAATAAAAAGGTTTCTGGCCTAATCTCTAAAACCTAAGCTCCAAAGAAGTATAAAACTCATTCTTGAATAATGAAAGATTCAAAATTGATATGTTCAATTTCCAGGTATATAAATCTTTAAGAGCAAGATTGAACTATATTGTCCTCTTACCAAGCAAAAATCAATCTGCTTTTAAAAAATAAATCCAAATCCAGGAATATAAAATAAAGAATGATGAGATTTTAAAGCTACAGAGAACATTCAAAAATACTCTGTCCCAATATGCTCCTTTAAAGGTAAAGAAACTGAAAACCTGGAAACATTAGATGATTTGCCTAAGATCATATAGCTAATAATATGCCACAAAGATTAAACTAGAATACAAACCTCACGACTTTAAGTTTTGGATTCTTTCTACCACACTACAATGCACAAATCTGGCACTGTTGAATAGCATTTTTCTTTGTACTGGAAAGAAAACAAGTGCCCTTGAATCGAATATCACAAAGTCCATTATCCAGATTCCTTCTGTTGCTTAGTTTCTTTATAATGGCTTTAAGTTTCAAAATGCTCTGCCACATCTGTTTTTAATACAGCTGCTATGAGAAATAAAATTTTTAAATCACAGGAAATCAGTGAATTTTCTCCATTGTTAATAAATATGTTAGACTAGGACCACAATTCTGATTTTTAACTGGTAAAAAGAGTTTCCATATTTGCATTTTTATTCAATGATCTCCTTTTCTACATGACATCAATATAAGCTCTTGAATGAATGCATAAAGATATGCAGATAAAAACCACCAACTTTGTGCATATGATGAAGTATCCAATAATTTGTGCCATGCATAATTATATGCTAAACTGAATTACTATCAGTTTTCCACCACACGATGATCCTTCCTTTATTGTAATAGTAAACTCTCTTTCAACAATAAGCATCTGCATTCTTTCGTCACAGGATGCTATTGTCTTCATTCTGGGGTGTAGGGTGTGGTATAAAGAGTGAAATATCAAAAAATAGATTACAAACTTTCTAAAGGCAAGGCTCTTTGTTTAGGGATTTATTCTGTAATTCCTAACTGCCCCCAGTGAACTGATTAAAATATAATGGCTGCATAGTATTTATTTATTGAATACTTGCAATAAACACAATAAATAAATATTTGTTACTGAAGATTGCAATGTTTCTTCCTGAAGAAACTGCATTCAGTTTTTGACCTAAGTGGTAGACAGGAAAAATATTTAAACATGAAATATCTTAACAAAATTACTGGGAAAATGCTAGAACCTTTTATTTACTTTAACTTAGCAAGCTCTGAAAACTATACAAACATCTCTCTTACCACAATTCAGAGAGCTATGGGGTAAAATAATTACCAACTCTAGGGCATTCTCAGACAGATTATCCATATTGCCATTAGTTATGACAAATTGTGCTTTTAAAATTTTATTGGAACTGTCACACACTTGACCTTATTAAGTACTTTGTTGACATTAACAAGGTCTTTCTTAATCCTAGCCTAGCAGCAGTTAGAAAAAAAAAGATAGTTCAAGTCAAAAATAAGTAACAACCAAGAAAAATACAAATATACAGAGTAAGTTAATTAAGTCAAGAAATGAAGGAGGATTCTAGGCAGGATGAAGCCATGTACAAAGGTATGGAGGTAGAGGGATGAAACAGCAGAAAATATTCAGGAAACTGAGTACAGCATGACTGGACCAACAAGTGTATGTAGA